GCAGTCTTTATGGCCGAGGCCAAAACATCTCCTCAGGCTCAGGATCTGTCTCTGGCTTTGGGGGGATACCCTCACCTATAGCCGTCGCCGAGGCCGAGGTATAAAATTTATCTTTTGCTCTTCTTCAAGCTTCTGACTGCGATTATTCTTTAATTTTAATTTATTTTCTTGGATACAGCAGCTAGTAAGTTAAGATATCGGCTTATTAGTTTCCTGTTCATTTATGCACTCCTATTCTCTTATGATTTCTGAGTTTGTGCTTTGATAACGATCCTTAATTTGTTTTCTGGTATATATGTTTTCATGGATGATGATTTTGTTCCTTTTCTCCCCTCTTGTTTTTCCAAATTAAGTCGGCAACCCCTGAAATACTACTATTTAATATTCATGGGATCCCTTACCCATCACGATATATTCTATTTGATTTAGCATTTGGCAAGTCTACTGTTTAAGTCATTCTGAAAATGAAGTTAGAACCGAACAAACCGAACCGAACCGACTTGTAACGGTTTGGTTCGGTTTTGAATTATATGCGGTTCGGTTCGGTTGTTCAAAATTTGGTAAAAAAGGACCCGAACCGAATTGTGCTCAGCCCTAGTCTTGGCTAAGGCTTGGCCGAGACATCGACGGGTGTCCGCATGCCCAAAAATAGTTTTTTGGCAGATTTAAGCTGTTTTTTTGAACGTTAACCGCCTGGATTTGTTCCAACTAATAAAATATCATCCAAGAACGTGGTTAAATGGTTACAACTGAAGATAAGAATGAATCTATTGTTCTTATCCGAAAACAGAGGTCCCAAAAGCCTATAAATACAGCCCTAGAACCTTCATTTTTTTCAGATATAGAATTCTCGAGCGTTGGCGAAGCCCTGCTAAACTGAAGACTGAAGGAGCACGAATTTCAGAAGAAATGAGGAGATCGGATCGAGTTTGTCAGCATAAAGAAGAGGAGCTCATCAGATCCACAGTTCCTGGTTCCTTCCATTGAAATTGCCCCGTTGCGGTGATCTTAAGAAGAGTGATTATCTCGCTGTTGTCGAGATAATTGCTTCGGTTTCTTGATTCCTTCGTAAATCAACAAAGCTCCGGACCTGATCTGATCGTTTGGTAGTCCACGGATATCAACATCTCCGTCACAGGCCAAGATCTCACGCAAGCAACGGATGATAAACGTCTGTTGTGTTTGTTGAAAGAAAAGTTGTAATTTTCGTTTTCATTGTGTAAGAATCTTGTAAAAAGACTATCTTTTTTTGTTTTCATTGTAATGACTGAAGTTGTAATGAATGCATCAATGAAGACATTAACTTTCTCCCCAAACAATTAGCACGAAAAATTAATTAATTGAACGTGATAAATGTTGCATGAAGATAGTTATACTTGAATTTGCATAGTTTAAAGTTGGTATTTTTTTTGCGATAAAAATAATTGATAGTTTAACTAACAAGTTGTTGGCCGCAGGGGCGGAGCCATACTGGGGGCTAAACAGGCCCCGGCCCCACCTTGGATTATGAAAAAAACAGCGGATTTTGCTTATAAACCCAAAGTTTTTAGTTCTATATATTCTAATAAACCCAAAATAGAAAGTTTGTTTGCCTTTAAACCCAATTATAGAATACAATTTTCATAACTGTATAAAATACAATGTGCAGCTATACATCCAAAGTATGTAGCTATATGTCCTATAATATGTAGCTATATAATCTATTATATGCAGCTAACATTTTGTATTCTATATTTTGAGTTTAATGGTAAACAAACTTTTTAATTTGGATTTATTGGGGCACATAAAAGTAGGTGGTTTTTGGGTAAATGGGAGCAGAACTTTGTGTTGATAAGCAAAAACCCAAAAAAAGGTAGTATGCATTAGTTGCTAATATGTATTTTTCAGGGGCTAAATTATACAATGTAGCTATCTTTTAAAATACTCCTTTGACTCTTTTGTTCATTCTCTGTTAAAGCTTTCGAGTCCAAACTACGATTTCAGAGTCTGATTTTTCCTAATCTAGTTTATTCTTTGTTGAATTACTAAGCTAAAACCCTAAAGTATAGTAATTTCTAGTTAATATAGATGATTGAAATGGTAAAAATAGCACTAATTGTTATTTTCTCTTCGGGTAGAGGTAATTTTACTAATTTAAACTTTTATGATGGATCAGACTTTTTTATATATCTTTTGATATAGTAAATACTATTATTTTCGGGTTTAATAAATATTTGCATAATATATGGACAATTCACGAAAAGGTGAGTTGTTGACATTTGTTTGGAGTTATATTCATTTGTGGGTGTTTGGTTTATTTTATTTTCAGTTACAGAATGATTTCAAGAAATGAAGACAAGAAGAGTGCTACTGTAAACAATATATTATAATTATAAATATGATTTTGAAAATCTTATTATATAGTGATGTCAAGATACTAATCAATTGTGTTAAGAATTCTATATATTATCATGTTTGCTTACTTTTTGGAGCCCCTTGTCAAAAATCCTGGCTCCGCCACTGGTTGGCCTAGTGGTAGGCAAGGTGGTCCCAAGACGGGCTCTTGTCTGTTGGCAAAAAAAGTTGATATTTTAAATAATGATAACAATTAGGGGGGTTTTGCCACCCAAAGCTTTACCCTATTTTACTTTTAAACCCAAGTTATTTTATTTGTATTTATAAACACAAACAAATTTGTGTATTTATCTTTAAAACCCAGTCTCCCAAATACACCACATAATATGTTGGTACCTTGTAAAAAAAAAAAATTTAAAAAAGCCTATTTTAGCCCTTTCTCTCCCTTCAATATTCTCTCTCCCGTGCCTCTAAAATTTTTTGAGTTTGTAATAAAAACCTAAAAAAATTTAATTGCAAAAAGCACCCTAAAATTTTAAATTTTATAAAAAAACATCCTAAAAATTTAAAACAGGAACAACACACCATAAATCTTGAAATGATGAACAACCCCTAAAATTTTTAGAATTTATAGAAAATACCTTGAAAATTTTAAAATTATAAAAAACCATCAAATGTCAAAATTTATGGAAACACCCTAAAAAGATCAAAACTTACAACCATGTGTTTTCTATATTTTGATCTTCTTAGGGTGCTTTTGTATAATTTTTATGGAGTTTTTTTAAATTGATAAAACTTTTAAGGTATTTTTTACAGATTACAAATATTTAAGGGACTATTCACAATAGATTTTTAATAATACTGTTTGTTGGTTTGAAACTTTCAGGTGGTATTATAAATTTGATATTTGTAGGATATTTTTTATTATATTTTTATTTTTGAGGGTTTTTTTTGCAAATTTTAAAATTTTAGGTGTTTTTTGCAATTAAATAAAGTTAAGGGTGTGGTTTATTAACTAAAAAAATTTTAGAGGGAAGGGATAGTGAATGGAGGGAGAGTTCAAATATTTTTTAGAGGGAGACCACATAATTAGATAGTGTATTTGGAAGGTTAGGTTTAAAGATAAATACACAAACTTGTTTGGGTTTACAGACACAAATAAAACAACTTGGATTTAAAAGTAAATCAGGCTAGAGCTTTGGGTTTAACGGCAGCAGAGGGAAAATAGGATACCGTACATTTGTCTGTCCATTGGGCTTAAAACTATGGGTCTAAGGCTTAGGCCCAAAACATAATATCTTATTTAGGAAAACAGGATTTTCAGTAACATGAATGTTAAATGAGAAGGGAAACAGGGGTTTTGTCAATATATTCAGTAACATAATGAAACTTTATTTCTCAAAAATAAAGGTGAGAAATAAAGTTTCATTATGTTAAATGTGAGGAAAGGTAAGGAATGAGAGGAAAAATATAATATCTTATTTAGGAGTTTTGTAAGGAGAACGGAGATGAACTTAAATTATTTTGTTTGAGAGTTCTAATTATGAGAAAGAAAGGAAAATAAATGAATCTTAATCATTGATTCATTATGATAGAGGGTTAAAATATCTTTTTTATTATAAAATTTATGACTTTTGCTTCCCCATTTTGAAGAAAATTTTGGAGAAGCTGTTGGAGATGCTCTTATCAGTCTTAAAAAAATCTCGCAGACAGAAACTCTCTTTTCCCTTTTCCCTACCCCCTCATTACTTGCCCTCCAAACATAGCATACAAGGAAGAGGAAATTAAAAAAAAAATAAACCTTTAAGACCCCTGAAAAAGAAGGGATAATTCCATTTACATCGGCTCCTCTTCTTGCTGAACACGTCGCCTTTTATTTTTCTCTCCAATAAAATTCCACTAAGGGGCTGTTTGTTTGGTTTCCTAAAAACCAAGAAAACCAAGAAATGGAAATGGAAAACATGAAAATCTCAAAAAATACTATTTCCTCCATTTCCATCCCTAAAACTCACCCACAACATCCAATAAAATATTATTTTCATCCAACAACTCATCCACATCATCTAATAAAATATTATTTCCATCTAACCACTCATCCACCACATCTAATAAAATATTATTTTCATCCAAACATCACTCAACTCATCTCTTTTCATCATTTCAAATCACTCACATCATCCAATAAAATATTATAACAGTTCACCTCATCTCATTAACATTTCATTTCTCCATTTTCATCCCAAAAAGTTATGAAAACACTTTTCTTAATCTTTCTTCACATCACCCAATAATACAATGACAACTCACCTCATCTCTTTTCATTTCTTATTTTTAAGAATGAACCAAACAAAAGAAAACAACAAAACTACAGGAAATAAGTTTCTTATAATTTATTTCCTTATTTTTTTCGCCAACCAAACAACATCAAAACTAGTTTTCTTAAAAAATCACTCACATCATCCAATAATAATTTGACAACTAACATTATTTCATCTCCATTTTTTTGATTTCCTTTTTTTTTAGCCAACCAAACACTCCCAAACCAATTCTTCATTTTAATAGTTTTCCATTTCTTTGATTTCCCTCTTTTTTTAGTAAAACAAACAGCCCCTAATAAAATTCCCCTTGACAAAATACCCAACAAAACCCCTGCTTTTCAACCTAAATGCTCTAAATCTAATGATCAAAACCTCCAGTTCTCACTCATGGCTCTCTGCCATTTTCCATCCTTGTTCACTCGTCCCCACAATTTCAACAACCCACATCTCAAATGGAGAACCCATCAGTTCCCACTTCACCGAAATCTCATTTTCGCTTCCTCTGCTGAGAAATCAAGGTTTTTGTCACTTGCCCGCTTCTTGTTTTGTGGATTTTTAGCTTACCATGTAATTTCTTTGTTTTAATGTGTAGCAGAAAGAAAGGGAAGGTTTCAAAGCCAAGCAAGAGCAATGAGGATCTTTGCACTGAGCTCCGAGAGTTTATGTCAGTGGCGGGGTTTCCTGAGAATCGCTTGCCCACGATGAAGGAGCTTTCGGAATGTGGAAGGTTTGCTTCAAAATTTATTGTTTCATTTCAATTGAGCCAGTTACGTTTGTGGCATTATAGTGATCATGATAAAGAAAGGTTTCTTTAAAATGTAAGTTTCTTCGGCATATTTAACGACTAACATTTACTAATTTTGTATAGTTGTTTCAGTTGAATGATGTTTATGGGACAGTGGGTGCAAGAAGTGATCTTGGGATCAGAAGTGGTCAGAGTATCGGTTTAGGTTTAATGAAAATTGACATACGGTGACATATTTCTAGCCGTTAGCTAGTTGAATGAATTTTTTTTTTGGTAAACTAGGAAGATAGTTAGATTGTGGATATAGAAGTTATCATTAAAGTTATCAGTATCAGGAGGAAAAGGTTACTAGAGCATACAGGTAAAAGGTGGTCTGAGATCTTCCTATTCTTAAATGCCTCTCAATCCATGCTATCATCTGTAAAATTCTAGCTGAAAATCAAATCACGTTTCTTCTTTCTGGCAAATGCTATGTAAATTTAAACACAACTCCACATTTTCTTCTGTTTATTGACAATTGACTTTTTATTGCACGTATTCATTGGCAACTGACTCTTTATTGACTCGACTACAAACATGACTAGTGAATCTATGAGTGCTGAATTGTTTGCATCAGGTAGGCCGAGTCCACTGTATTCAGAATCACTACCAATCACTTGCCTTGTCTTCAAGTCCTAAAAACACAGTAAGAAGGAAAAATGTTATGGATTAATTGAGTGGTTTAGTAAGAGTGCTACAAGTATGAGATTTGTCAATATATTCAGTAACATGAATGTTAAAGGTGAGAAATAAAGTTTCATATTAACTTAATTTCTCCAGTTCCTGATATTATAGAAAGAGAACCACCAGCAACTCTATCCTTACCTTGACGTCAACACAATTGATAAGTAGAAAAGAAATATGAAATGCTAGTCACAGGATGACTAGCTTCATAAGAAAAAAATTTTGGAGCACTAAAAGAAGCAAGAAGGGAAATGTTTAGTACATCAATCTTTGAAATGGAAAGGCCCGTTTGAAGTTCGTAAGCATGCTGATTTACCTTTCGGGTGGAAAAACTTCCTTTTTAATTCCACATGTTCTGGGCTTCCACAATGTTGGCACTCTTATTTATCTTTGCTTTCTTGTAGCTGCAAGTGTTTCTTTAACTTCTTTTCTCTCCAAAAAGATGCAGCCAATACTGAATGGTCCTGTAAAAGATGCTTGTCAGACATTAGTATGAAATTCCTTTTTATTGTTGATCAGCTTCACGGCATATTGATTCATGTGCACCTTAATCTAACTTTTGCACAGCCTTTTTTTCTCTTACAACTTCGATCTAAACTGATGTTCAGCCTAAGTACCCTCCACTTTGCATCCAAAGTGTCTTGCTGAGTTTGAAGTATAAACTTTTTATTAATGCTTTCTTTGCATTTCATTTAACTAGGTGCAGAAGACTGAAAGTAAACACTTTTTTGTAATGTTGTAGGAAAGACCTTGCTAATAGTGTGAGGCGTAGAGGATACAAGGTAGTCAGAGCACTCCTCATAAATTCATTTAAAAATTTGAGTGATACAGAGAAATCTTCAATAGAAGAACCAAATTTCAAAAATGCTTGCAGTGAGGAGGCCTCAGGTCTACAAAACTTATTCTTATCATATATTGCATGATCTTGTCATTTTGCATAATCTTCTTGATATTAAGATGTGAAGGTTTCTTAAATTGTGTAGAAGTAAAAGGGAGGGATCTGGTAGAGTCTGCTGAATATTTCTCATCAACAAGTGGCTCTTCTATGATGGAAACATACATGGTTAGGACAAATGATGCAGCAGCTTCTGACATTTCTGTTCAAGTTTGCAGTTCTTCAGAATCATTTATTGCATGCTTGCATTCGAGGGCTGCAAACTTTGTGGAGACTGGGAAGTTGGATGTATTTGAAGGCAAGACTTATAGTAATGTTTGATTTTGTTCATCATTTTACTCATCAGATTTTAAGATACATTGACTCATGAGCGATCATTGTCGAAAAGATTGGAAGCAAGAATTTCACAAGGACACACATTATTCTTTCGTTTCGTGGTTGTGCAATTGGTTTTGATCGTGTAAATTTGTAGCACAACATGTACCAATGGCACAGACATGTGACACACACATAATTTCCACAAGAATCACAATAATTTTCATAAAATGTGGGACACGAGGCACTTCTTACAATTTTTAATTATAATATATATGCATATAAATAAAATTTCTGTAAAAAGAAAATAAAATACAAACTAACAAATTGTTTCTTTAAAGAAATACATAAATGTCTAGAGGCATTTTTTTAGTTCAACCATCCTGCATTGATGCTTAAACTTATTTGCTAAGTCCTCATGTCTGCACTTCACCATTTCTGATGCTGACACTCAAGTCGTAGGTTTTTATTAAGTTTCTACAATGCTCAGGTTTGAACACTTGGACATCATTTAATAGAATCACTTGAAACAGACATAGTTCACTCTGTAGAAACTTCTGAGATAGGAAGTGGGGAAATTCCCACTGATTCTGAAGCTGTCGAGATGGGAAGTGGTGAGATGCCCACTGCTTCTGAAGCTTTTGAGATGAGAAGGGGGGAAACACACGCTGATGCTGAGCATAAATCTGGCAGCGTAAGCTCCACCAGTACTGATAATATTGGTAATAGTGAAAGTTAATCACAAAAAGTAGTTACAAGCTCCAGAATAACAAACAAATTTTGAAAGGTGTACTAAAACTGCTGAGTTTATTCCTGCAGCTTATGTGGGTTCTCAGGAGGTTCCTTCCTTACCACAACAGATTTATAGGTTAGTTTCTTAAGAGTTAGAAGTTTAATACACGACATGTATATATTGACACTGGCAGTTTTCATGCTCTAACAGAATGTTGCTTTGTTTTACACTGAAATACTTTTTATTCAAGTTGATAATTCAGAATATTCATTTTTAGTTTATTGGCTGATAGGGATCGGTTAATAACCGAACAAGGATTAGAAGGGGCAGGCAATGCTGAAAAATTTACTTCTGAGATGGTAGGAACCAGATATCTTATGAGCTTTGCAGACAATTGTTCTTTACTTTTATTCTTTGTTCTCTTGCCTATCTGTTGATCTATTTTTATTCTTTAGGATAGTGAAAGGATCAACCGAGCTGAAATCGACCATTTAAAGGCCATGCTGGTATTCCAATCTTTCCCCCCTCCCCTTTCTTTTAGTTGTAATTTGTGCTTGAAGATTATTGTTAAGTTTCTGCTATGAGCTAATGTTTTTGTGCTGAATTTGATTAGCGTCAAAAAGAGGTGGAGCTATTGTTAAGTTTCTGCTATGAGCTAATGTTTTTGTGCTGAATTTGATTAGCGTCAAAAAGAGGTGGAGCTACTTGAGTTAAAACGACATATTGAAATGGTTTTGTGCTGAATTTGATTAGCGTCAAAAAGAGGTGGAGCTACTTGAGTTAAAACGACATATTGAAATGGAGAAGGTATCTGAATTTAGTGATTGATTTTTCATGCACTTTGCTTTCTCATTTGATAAATAAATGATTGTGGAAAGTTGTCAAGAAGAGGATGCACCCTGTACTTCTAATAATTAATACTTATGAATAATTTAATACCTAGTAATAAAATTAATCATATATTATGATGATCTAAGTTCATTATTTAATTTGTGGTTTAGAGTATTTGTCTTAATATGGGGTCTTATTTGGAGTTGCATTTCTTAAAAGAACCCAGAGATAAACATTTTTCATCGTAAAACAAAGGTATGAGTTTTGAGGGTGCCATTTCCTAGAATGCTACTTGCAGTATTCGATTGGTTGAGGCGGTAGAGGGAAAGGCTGTCCAATCAGATCTAGCAAGTCAGAGAAGTCAATGAGTCTTGTTCACATGCACATCAATTGTGCATCCTTTTCTCTAGACAACAATTACTCTAGAAAGAAAGTTCTTACATCAGTCTTGCTCAATTCCTCCTCAGAAAATAATTTCTACCTTCTCTTAGGGACTTCTGGATGCTCTTTGTTCATGTTGTGGTAAGATTGTTACTGGAATGAGTCTCCTTTCCTTTCTAGACACATGGTGTTCATCTAATTATCTGACTTAGCTTTTCTGAGTTGTGCCATTTTTTCCTTGATCTAGGAACTGTAGACATGCCAGGATGGTCTTGTCAATGTAGTAACTGCTCAAATAATAGGATATGTTACATGGCTAAATGTCTAGTGTGTGCTGTGCATTTTCTTGTACATCAAGATAAATATACATAGTGGGACGGATTTTTTATTGAAAAGATTTAAAGAAAATGGAAGCTTAGTAATTTAAATATGTACGTGGAATTAGTGAAAATATAAAGAAATGTGCAACCTGATAGAAGTTTATGATGTATTGTTTTAGCATAGGACGGCCGGTGAAATATTTGTTCCTTTGGGTACTCAGATGGTTCTTTGATGATTGATCATGTACTACTAAAGCTGTTGTATTCACCTGAGATAACTATTGTTTGAATTGATACGATTATTCTTTCACAATGAAAATAGTTCTGATTAAAGATCTGACTGATGCTCCAATTTCTTTGTCTTCAGCAAGCTTTGTACACTCTGCAAGATAAGGCAAACAAAGGGATATTCAATGCACACAGAATGGCAACAGAAAAGGACATGGAACTCCATGTAGCAGAGGAAAGCCTTTCTGGACTTAAGGAGGTACTTCTCTCACTTGTTGCCAGGTTGTATCTATTATTATTATTTCTTCCATGAAGGTGGTATCTTTATTTTAGTATCTAAGGAGGTACTTCTCTCACTTGTTGCCAGCTTGTATCTATTATTATTATTTTTTCTTCCATGAAGGTGGTATCTTTATTTTAGTATCTAATGGAGGTACTCTGTTTTCTTTATTTGTATTTAAAAGAGATGATGAGTTAACTTTTTCATTACAGGTTCTGATTGAATACTGGGGAAATGGTGAAATTGTGGAAGTTGCTGGAAGTTTTAATGGTTGGCATAATCGAATAAAAATGGACCTGCATACATTATCTGAACAATTAGAACCACTTTCAAGGTTTGTTTACTTTCACTTATGCATTACATATGGGTAAATGCATATTTCAGGATAAGGGTACTCCTCATCACCACCCATATTACAGTAATAAAGTGAAATTTGCGTGTGTATGTGGATGAAATTCTGTTAGTGTTCATCTTTTAACATGAATCTGTAAGGATATTACTTGTGCTTAGATGTGCATAATTTTCTATTAATGTTCATCTGTGTCTTGAATTTGAATGGCTATAATGGTTGAGAACACAATAACTCGGTAATTATAAAAAACATTCTGTTCATATAAATACCCACACAAACAAAATTGTTTATTGGAAAGAATGGATCAGTAACAAAAATGACTATTAGTCAAGTGAATTTCAAGTAAGACAACTGATAAAATGAGTTTGTTAATGTCTATATGAAACATGAATTCATTTTTTAGCTTTCCCTAAAGGATACATAACTCAGATGTTATAGATATCTTCAAGTATACAGAATACATCAATGGGGTACTCAAACACAACCTTTGCAAAAAAGTAGTCAAATAACTAAATGGCTGCTAAGCAAATGAAATTGTGCAAACTGCCACTATGCAGTAGAATTTACAACTTGTAACTTTTATGGCATACTGAAATGATTATCAACAACCATGTCGTAAGCATGAACGGGTTATATGTTCATTTGGACAGAGCATAATAATCAACAACAATAATTGGAGGTTCTGGTCACATCATTATTTCACTTGTATATTATTTTTGCGCAATGTTATATCCATGTCTTCTGGATCAATATTTCATTATTATTTCGAACTTCATAAATGTGATAAACTCATGTATGAAAACTTTACCATGCAGAGGCTTGAAACTTTGGTCAACAATTTTATGGCTCTATCCTGGAATTTATGAGGTAAATGTACTTGTATAAGATTTTCAAGTGTCATTATTATTGGCATAACAAGTGATCTAAAGCATAACTTGTTTGCTATAACTATAAGCACAATATTCTAATATATGGTAGTATTGAATGATTGTAAAGCAACAGGCACGTTTAGTATATACTCCAAAATACTAGCATATCTTAATTTCTCACATAATTTAAAATTATCATACAGAGCATGTCATTAGTTACATCACATGTCCTGATTTTTTTTTCTATATTTCTGGTCTTAACCAACTACTATGCTTCAGTTATCCAATATTCTAGGAGTTTCTGTCATGTTGTCTTTTCTTCAACCGTATACTTAAACAATCAATGTTTTGTGCATAACATTCTAGTGTTTGTATGATCCTTTACTGCTCATAAAGAGTACTTTCATTAGATTGTTCTTCAATAATCTTGCATCAGGCCATGACCAATCTTAATAAATCATCACTTTCTTGAGGGTTCATTTGACTATTGATAATTGGAATTGCACTTTTTCAGTACATGTTTGAGACTTTGGTAATCACAACTGTTTGGTTCAGATATCCCAGGTTCTTCAATAATCTTGCATCAGGCCATGACCAATCTTAATAAATCATCACTTTCTTGAGGGTTCATTTGACTATTGATAATTAGAATTGCACTTTCTCAGTACATGTTTGAGACTTTGGTAATCACAACTGTTTGGTTCAGATATCCCAGGTTAGTCTATATTGAATTGGAGACACAAATAGTTTGAATTTCAGTTCCCTAATTGCCCCGAATAGGTTGACGTTACATGTCCTAATGTATCAAGCATGTAGGTTAGGTTCACTTATCTCTAGGAAACTAGAAGTTTTTTTTAACTCATTGCTGTTAAGCATTTCACTTTCAAGATTTTGAACTTCATGGTTCTCAAGTTCGTGCATTCCAAATGCATCCACATATTTAGTTGCAAGTACAAAACAGGCCTGGACTGTATAACATGTAGGTTTCAGTAATCAAACACTTCAGAGGTTGCATTTCTCACTTTAGTTTATAAAAAAATTGTTGTTGTTATCTTGTGGGCTTAATTTTTTTGTCAATTGTAATAATGATGACTTTAGTTGGAACTTTTTGTTAAGCATTCTAATTTTCCAATGAAATCTTTTTTGCTTAATTTTATAAAGATCTTTTAAAGCTTTTCAAGTGTGCTTGTCAGCAAACTCAAGTTCCATAGATTTGAGTGTCATTATCAGGGTATTAAAGCATCTCATGCTTGTTTGGTTAAGTTTTGATCATCAATGGTCCTTTTCCATGAAAAAGAAAATTGCAAAATTTTTCTTACTTTTACATTTCTAAATTCTCCATTAGTGTTTCCTTTTTTTAAGATTCCTTTTCTCTGTGATGATCAAATAACAAATGAATATTTCTGATTTTTGAACTCTTGAAGCTACCAAATCAATGCCAACTAAAAGCAGGAACTTTAGTACGGAAAAGTTCTAAGGCATCCTTATCCTGATTGTTCAACTTTTTATATTGCTGTTCTAGCACTATGTGGGGTTAAAATGTTTCCTTTGATATTGAGTACATTATTGTTGAAGGAGACAATTCAACTCATTTTTAAATTCAACTCATTCTGTTTTTCCTTTCCTTCTTCTTGTAATTTTTTAAAATGATTGTACAGACTACGGAGGTCTTGTGCTTTCAAATTGGCGTGATCTATATGAAAATCTATATTCTTATAAATATAATATCTTTGCTGATTATTTGTCTTCTGCTTTAATTGCTATCAGATCAAGTTCATTGTTGATGGTACATGGAAAGTTGATCCAAATCGGGAGATGAGTACCAGTTGTAACATAACGAATAACATTCTCAGGGTTGATAGATGATAAATCTTTCCATTTTAGTAGCTGCAACCAAGGTAATTCTACCTTTTCCCTGTTATAATAGCGTTCATAAGTCATAATTAAATCTATTTCATTTTAAAGGAAAAGGTAGTAAGAGATCCTTGAAAGAGGTGAGGCACTCCTTTTTTGTCGATCAATATTCTTCTTGTGTTTCTTCTTGGTTTCTGTTATTTCAATCTGCTTTCTGGGTCATATAAATCTGAGCTTACGACATTTGGGAAAGATTTTTTTAATATATTCATTGCTGAAAAATAACGGTTTACAAAAATCCATTTCTTTTTGGTAGCCAAATTCCTTGTCTTGTTTCCAAAAGACTGAAAGAGCACCAGAACTCTTATGAGAGAATCGTGAAACTCTAAGGAATATATAGGACAGTTTTGACTCAAAATGTACCAGGAACTCAAGGGAAATTATTTGGGGTATCTGCAAAAGGTTGTTGAAGTCTTGTGTAACACCACTGGAGATTGTGGGATACATAATCAAGTATGTCCCTATTCCTTTATGTTCTCTTGTTGTTTATTCTTAAAATCTCTTTGATGGTGTATTGTTTCAAGATGGTTTTCGTTGTGTGAAAGCTTGTGAAAATTTAACTTTGCATGCTCACACACAGTATACTCAGACATAGCAAGTTTGTTATTTAACCCTATTAAAGTTCATATCTTGCTATGAAATTGGATAATTTATCCTGTTCTTATGATTTACATGATTTGGGAGTTTATAAGCATCAATCATGCATTTCAAATGTGTTTTTCACATGCATCATGTGGTTGCAAAACAAACTGTTTTTGAGAAATTAGGACAAAAGAGAAAAGCCGCCTGTTTAGACTGTCATTGCTCTATTCGCTTGTTGCTTTTGAGGCTTGGAGTAAGAAAGAAGTCAAATAAGACTACTTTGATGAGTAAAATTCATCGTCTATATTTTGTTAGCGTGAAGGGCAGGAAATCACTTCTTTAAAAGAAGCTAACACCGTGGTCGTATCTTATCAGCTATCAGTAAATTGGGCTGCTCAGAGGAGGGTGCATGGAGGGCCTTGCTATCGGTGTGGCTGTTGAGTTAGGCGAGAATTAAGTTGTGTAGGTGATGCATGGCGTATGAAAAGAGGTGGACTATGGAATGGAATAAAAGTTCTTGGGCATGCCAAGTTGAGAACTGGTGTGTTATAGACAGTATATTGCCAAATGCTTTTTGCGAACAGGAAGTGTTGGGATTGTAGTGTCTGCATTGGACTGTGTAAAGGTTTGACAGGCGCCGCCCTACGTCTAATATGTTATGTAGATGAGGATAAATCTGTAATTTGTACATAGAGGCTTGGAAGGCTTAGTCTCCGGCATCATATATGCTATGAGGGATATCTTATAATGTATAGGACTTTATCAGAAAGAAAGAAGAAAAAGAAATATTCTAGGGCGGCTTATGGATGTAATGGCAAATGGGCCGCGAAGCTAAGTAAAAATCTGCGTCTTTTGTGATCAGCTTTGCTGTGCCATGTTTCCATTGTTTTTGCCATTCTGCGTCGGCTTGTAGGGAGTTTCTATTGGCGCATAACAACAAGTGCATGGTTAATAGGCCTATGTACTGGCTGACTTGAGAGCATGTTAGCCTGCAATATATTGTTGCTTAATTTTGCCAAGAGGCTATGTGTAGCCTTTGACGTTAAACTCGGGCTTGGATGAATGTAAATAGCATTGTTTTTAGAGTATTGTGGGTTTTTGTTTTATATTAGCGGCTTGTAAATGGATTAATAAATGTTGAAGACGCGTGTGAAAGGCTTTTATCTGCAGGCGGATGATTGGTGGCATCAGGAAGCAATTGGACGATGGTCGCGAATCATTATAGAATAAAGGTTAGTATAA